TAGTTAACTATTTTGAATTTACCATTAAATATGCACAATTAAATAATAATAATTAATTTAACCGAATTAAACGATAACCAACAAAATGCAAAAGATAGCCGACCAGGGCCGGATTTACCGAACAGACAACGTAGGCAGCTGCCTAGAACGGAAAAAATTAGGGGTAACTAAATACTTTGGATGAATTTGGACAGAATTTTTTCTAAATTAGTATAGCATACAAAGTTCTTGATACAAAATAACCGAGAATTTTTGCATGCATTGCAAGTGTCTTCAATTAAAAAATTTCAAAATATAGAATGTTTAAGAATAAAATGATGATGAAGTGAAAAACTACTTGAGATAAAAATTTGTTGAAGAACGATTAAACGCACTCTCTCTTAGCTATAAAGTCAGATTGTCTCATGTCTTATTTCTATATTATAGACACGCCAAATTCCTAAATCCGAACCTGTAGCCGACTACATAGAAAAATAATATTGGGAATTTGCTTCCACACTTTTAGTATATTAATTAAATACAAATTAATAATATATTGTGAAAAGTTTTAATATAACTTAAAACTATTATTGAAATGTATTCTAAATTAAAAAAGTAATAAATTATTAACTTAATAATGACACGTTAAATATTAATTATTAATATTTTATTTTATAGTAATTACTATAATAGTATAATATGTATCAAGTTTTATAAACGATATTTTAGTTACGAGTTTAATTAAGCAAGAGCGAAGCTTGCGAGCGAGTGTTTAATAAAAACTAGTGTCTAAAGAAGTTTATAAACGAGTTACATACTATACTCTATCTACGACGAACACAAAACAAAATTTAAGGCGAATTTTATTTGTTAAAAATTTGACATCTGTCAACTGTCACCCGGATTTAAACCTCACATTTTCTAAATTTATAATATAGCTAACTTAGAAGGCACTGTTGCTAACTTCAGCTCGGAACTAAAATGCCATAAAGCCACAGGTCGTCAATAGAGGAGTAGATAAAATAAAATATCAATAATTAATATTTAGGATTCATTACTTTTAAGTTAAAAAGTTAAAAGTTTTAACAATCAATACCTACGAAATATTAATGGTAAAATGTTTAGTAATGGTTATTTTACAGATCGTATACTTTTACAAAATGTTCTGGTTTTACAAATAAAGGAATAAATACATAAGTTTTGGGTTTCATTAAGAATAGATTAAAAGCGAATGTTAGAAAAAAAAATATTGCAAGAAATTTAAGTCAGATATGCCTTAAAAAATGTAAGTCGTTCTTTATTTTATACTTAAAATGTATTTTGCAAACGTTAAATCTGTCAATATTAATTTTTTCTTAGTGTTCTATAGGATTTCAAGATATTTAAAATAATAAAAACTCCAATAAAAATATTTACATTTATGTATGGTTGTTTTGCTAATTAGCAATATTAATATAAGTAAATTTTGTCAAAAATACCACATAAGTAAACAGTTTTACACTGGATTTAAAAAAGAAAAAATGTCTAGTTAAAAAAATACTGGTGAAGCCAATTATACTCATATAAATTAATTTGTATAGAAATAAATAAGAAGATTTTTGTATATTTATTATTTTTATATTGCAGTAATAATACTTAATAATATAATTATTCTAAATTATATAATAAAAGCTATAATTCTAATTTTATTATAATTATTACATGTTTATTGGGATAAATTATCAATAATAAACTTAAGATTCTGAGATTTTATGTAATCTTGAAGAACTTTTTAATAATTCTAAAGTACATTTTTTTAAATTGTGAAATTTTAGGGATAATTATAATTATTAGTATTATACTATATTATAGTATTTCAGTATTCCAGCAAATACTATACACGAACACTACTATGACAAGCCCGTAAATTTAAGAAACCACAAATGCAGAGTATTAACAAATATTTAAAGCTTGACCTTGAATCTAAAAATAGATTTGTTACGGGTAGAATTGGCAACACCGCTGGGCTTTACAGCGATTAATCAGTATATATTTTTATACTAGTGGGCTTTTCAACGTATTAATAATATATGCTTGGGCTTTACAAGAACAAAAATGTTTCTACCGACAATCCTATAGGGAAATCTTTACCCCTCGTCTTTCCCCTCTATAGGTTTTTAATGATTTAAACGAGATAGAAGATAAGTATACACGCCTAAACCACTAGCAACTGCAGGGCTCCGAAGCGACCCATCCGTCTCCGGGCTTCAAAACATACCATTTATAGGTATATATATATATATATATATATATATATATATATATATATTAGGGTGGGCCAAAAAAAAACTTTTAATTTTTTTTCTTTAGGTACCATGAAAATATCGTCCAAGATGACGAAAAAAAAATTCTCCTAAAGTTTGAGCTCTTAATATTAATATTAAGAGGTGGCTCATCGCGATTTTTTATTTTCCATTTAAATAACACGGGAAAAAAACATTTTTTTGTTTGTAATTTTATTGCGATTTAACGAATTAGTGTGTTGTAAAAATCAATACATATTCTTGTAGGGAATTGAACGATCTACAAAAAAGATCTGATATGATTTTTTGCTTAGTCGACTCTTTTAAAAGATATTTGAGGTTAAAGTTCAACCTCAAATAGTAAATGATGACTTTTATAGTTTTCCATGCTCTATTACGAAATATTGGCTCAAAAACATGAAATATCATATTTTTCGTGAAGTTTATCGAGTGTTCTTTGGTAAAACAATACAATTTCTACGAAATATCAATAATCAATATCAATAAAAAAAATTTCTATAAGTATAAGTATAAGTCTACTTGATTTAAAAAAAAATCGAATTTTTTTCTTTACATAAGTAATGACAAAAAAATTAATCATTTTCTCAAAAAATAATAAATATTCTATTTACACTTGACTATTAGGTAATAAAAGCCATGTTTCAATAATTTATCAACTAAAATAAAAAATGTTATTCCATAACTTGTACTTTTTTCACTATCTTAGGATCAAACATTTGTTGTACTTTTCTATTAATGCAACTCCTCTTTCTGCTACATCATTGAGAACGCTAAGACGTTTGAAAAATACTAGATTATCTTGATAGCTTTCATCCTGTGTCCAAAATTCTACATTCTTATTGATAAAGTCAATGGGTAAATCAAATATATTAAATATGTATATGTATGTTTGATACTTATAGCGAGTAGTTAAAAACCACCAGCAAAAATATCCCAATTGTAACAAGAAAAATTTAGTTTGATTCCAAAATAGTGAAAAAGTGCACGTTGGAATAACATTTTTTATTTTAATTGGAAAATTATTGAAACATGGCTTTTATTACTCTACATTACCTAATAGTCAAGTGTAAATAGAATATTTATTATTTTTTAAGGAAATGATTAATTTTTTTGTCATAACTCAGGTAAAGAAAAAATTTCGAATTAAAAAAAAATTAAATATAGGAAAAAACCGTTTTTTCAACGATTATTGATATTTTATAAAAAATTGTATTGTTTTGCCGAAGAACAATCGATAAACTTCACGAAAAATATGATATTTCATGTTTTTGAGACAATATTTAGTGAAAAACTATAAAAGTCATCATTTACTATTTGAAGTTGAACTTTAACCTCAAATAACTTTTAAAAGAGTCGACTATGCAAAAAATCATATCAGATCTTTTTTGTAGATCGTTCAATTCCCTACAAGAATATGTATTGATTTTTACAACACACTAATTCGTTAAATCGCAATAAAATTACAAACAAAAAAATGTTTTTTTCCCGTGTTATTTAAATGGACAATAAAAAATCGCGATGAGCCATCTCTTAATATTGATATTAAGAGCTCAAACTTTATCAGAATTTTTTTTTCGTCATCTTGGACAATATTTTCATGGTAGCTAAAGAAAAGAAAATTAAAAGTTTTTTTTAAATCAAGTACTTATAGAAAAAAAAATTATTGATATTGATTATTGATATTTCGTAGAAATTGTATTGTTTTACCAAAGAACACTCGATAAACTTCACGAAAAATATGATATTTCATGTTTTTGAGCCAATATTTCGTAATAGAGCATGGAAAACTATAAAAGTCATCATTTACTATTTGAGGTTGAACTTTAACCTCAAATATCTTTTAAAAGAGTCGACTAAGCAAAAAATCATATCAGATCTTTTTTGTAGATCGTTCAATTCCCTACAAGAATATGTATTGATTTTTACAACACACTAATTCGTTAAATCGCAATAATATTACAAACAAAAAAATGTTTTTTTCCCGTGTTATTTAAATGGAAAATAAAAAATCGCGATGAGCCACCTCTTAATATTAATATTAAGAGCTCAAACTTTAGGAGAATTTTTTTTTCGTCATCTTGGACGATATTTTCATGGTACCTAAAGAAAAAAAATTAAAAGTTTTTTTTTGGCCCACCCTAATAAATATATATATATATATATATATATATATATATATATATATATATATATATATGTGTGTGTGTGTGTATACGAGGTGTGTTCAGAAAATATCGGGAATTTTCGTTTTTTGAAACAAATATTTATTTATTCGTCTACATTAATGTTGTCGCCTTCAAAATAGTCCCCATTGGATATTATGCACATGTGTCAGCTCTTCTTCCAATACTCGAAACACTTCTAAAACTCGATCTTTGGGATAGCCTTTAGTTCTTTCAGCGATGCGCTTTTAATGTCATCTATGCTTGCAAAACGACGGCCCTTTAAGGTTCTCTTTATTTTTTGGAATAGGAAAAAGTCAGACAGAGGCATGTCTGGCGAATATGGAGGCTGGGGCATCATTACAGTATTGTTTTTGGCCAAAAATGTTGTTCAAAACTTAACAATTTTGGAACAAATTTTGCTGCCACGCGTTTCATACCCAAAACATTCGAAAAAATTTCATGGTATGAGCCAATCGATATACCAACATCATCAGCGACTTCTCTGATGGTTTATAACCATTTCTTCCACTTTTTCCATGTTTTTATCGGTTATTCATGTGCTTGTGCGTTCGGGGCGTTCGTCATCTTCAACGTCTTCACGGCCATCTTGAAAACTCTTATACCAATTGTAAACTCTTGTTTTACTTATAGCAGACTCACTATAGGCCTTTGTTAACATTTCACAGAATTTATTTAATTTTTTAAGCAAAATTGGATACAAATTCTTTGATCCATATTCTTTTAACGAACGAAAATCGCTGAGCTCATAAAACACGTCCAACCTTAGCGGCTACCACAGACAAAGTAAACAATGAAAACAACTAAAGTTTTTATCATACTTCGGGGGCATGTATACCAACATAATAAAATTTTTTTTATGACAACCGGTCCCTCCGAACCCGCGAAATTTAACAATTCCCGTTATTTTCTGAACACACCTCGTATATGTTATACTCGTTTATATGTTTTGTAAATATATTCTGTAAATGGGCCTAGGCCTGTAGAATATTAATTAATTAAATAAATAATTATGTCATGGCATCAAACGGGTTAATACTTTAATTCTAAAACAAATCAATCCTTAATGTGAAACTGGATCGACACAGGGTCAAAATAAAAATCGTAAAAATTATAAAAAATTGTAGAAATTTTAGATGGTCACCATTTTGTTCCTAATTGTTCCAGTTCGGTTTTATTATGTAATATGAAATGCACATTTACTACCCTATAAAACAAAGCATAAATCATTTCAATACCTATTCTAAATAAAAAGCTAGAGCCCATAATATACAAGTATGAAATTTACCCAATTTTTTACTTAGGATGGGTACTGACTAGAAGTTATCCGAAATAAAAATAATGGTGGCTTAGCATTTCTATTTTTGGTCGGGAACCCATAACATTTATGTTGCAAACTAATTGTAATATTATTAAGAAAAAAAAATGGTATCAATAAAAAATTAAAGATTTATGACTTACTTTTCCTTTCGGTTTTTTCAAGTATCTTGGAGAGATATATTCGTCAATAGTGATATCAATCTGATTTGGATCAATAGCTGGACCGCCAGTTCTTCTTTGAAGGTTTAAGAAATCCAGAATTGTTTTCTTTTCTGTCTCAAACGAACTGTCTGCTAAGGATCTACCTTTTGCCGCCAATTTGCAGCAGGCCATCCATCTTGCATATTGGTTTTCCTAAAAAAACACCAAAAATAATATATCATAATATTGTACCTATGTTATTTTACAATTTTTAATTATAGTATGTTAATAAAATACAGGGCTTCCCAAAAGTCCCGGGACGGAACTATAACTTTTAAAGGTGGGGTATGAAGTGAAATAACATTTAAATCACTACTTCAAGATAGATTTTTCTACAAGAACTTGCATTAAATGCAACTCATTTAACCATACTACCGAAAATTGACAAGAAAAAACACCTGCAACAAATGTTTTGTAGACCAGGCAAACTAACAAATGCTCTACAAATCTCGAACCTAAATGCTTGTAATGATATCAATCATCAAGCAACTTTAAGATCGACACCCAGGCAGTATTTTCTGGAACACGAATGTGTATCCTAATGTTTGACCTGGAAAAACCAACTCCGAATCCCCCACAAAACCATCCATGGAGGAGAATATAATTCAATATATCAGTTAAAATTCTATACAGTGCTTGCAAATCCAAGTCCGACCGGGATGGGAAGGACGCGTGAAAATAATAAGGATAGAACGCCAAACAGAAGGCGCTTACAATAAGCAGGCCTGCAGGCTCTGACCAATCAAATTCTGTTTGGCATTCTATCCTTGTTCTTTTCAAGCGGGTATTGAACAACCGTCCTTCCCAACCCGGTCGGACTTGGATTTGCAAGTACTGTATAATAATATAAACAGCTATTCAGTGTACCTTGTACCTGTAAACTGAGTAAAAAAATCTGGAAGATACGCTATTAAATAAACACTTTTAACAAGAACATTCAAATATTAATTCATCAATACCGACAACAAAAATGGATAGAAGCTTGTGAAAAAATCCAAGAAAACTATGAAAGAACTTACTGGAAAGAAATTGGTAAATTAACTAATAATAAGGGCACTTTGAACTTGTTTAATACACCCCTGTTTGACAACGGCAGAACATACGAAACAACTAAAGAATAACTTAAACTATTTGCAGACTATTTAGAAGACACCTATAGAGAAAGTATCGATGCAAACTTCTGTCTAGCCCATTATAATGAGGTCTCACAACGGTATGCTAACATTACAGAGGAAAATCTACCTTTGACAACTGAAAGTTGCGTACCCATTTATAAAAATAAAGGAAGCAAATCTGATCCTCTAAATTACAGACCTGTGAGTCTTCAAAAGCAGTTTAGTAAAATAATAGATACATTGTATTACAATCGTTTACAGATGTACAGTGCTAGCACTTTTTAGAATCTAACAAACTACTTTTTGAATTTCTTCTTTAGGAAAAATAAGTCCACTAACACAGCAATCGAAAGTGCTTGGAATTTTATTTTTAAAAGTTTAAATGAAAAACTGCATGTTGTTGGACTGTTTTATGACCATTTGATACAAAAAATCACAAATTATTATTAAATAAACTTGAAAGTATAGGAGTTAGAGGAGTTACAAATAAATGGATAGAATCATATCTATTGGATAAAACCCAAGGTATATATTAATGCTGAAAAATCAGTAGCGCTGGGAGTACCTCAAGGATCGATATTGGGGCCACTTTTATTTTTGATATTTGTAAATGATTTAAATTTAAATACAAATATAAATGAGAAAATTATTCTTTATGCAGATGATACTGTAGCGAGTACCGCTCTGGATATCGGAGTGATGACTCATCGCCGGTTAGTCATCGCCGATGAGTCATCGCCGGTGACTCAGCGCTCGAACAATCGAGAGTGTGGAGCTCGCTGGAATGTTCCAGAAGACCTTGGCGCTGAATATATAAGAATCGGAGCAGCACACGGCAGTCAGTTAAGATTTGGTACTCGCGGCGAAATAAATAAATATAAGTGCAAATAAATAGACTCTTGAACAATAGTGATATATAAATAATTAGTAGTTAAGTGTTTAGTTAGTTTTATAGTGTTTTAAGTGTAGTTAAGTTATTAAATAAATAGTTTAGTTCGTTAATTAACCAGTGCGTGTTTTAATTCACACTACGAACAGTTAAAAACGTTACAATTGGTGTCAGGAGTGCGGTTAGTGTGAAATTTCGCGAAAATGGTTTCGTTAATGGACTTAAAAGTGGCAGACCTTAAGCGAGAGCTAGAAGAAAGAGAATGTGATCCAACTGGAAAAAAGAATGTGTTGCAGCAGCGGCTTCGAGAAGCGTTGGAACAGGATGGTGAAAATCCAGATACGTATTTATTTGAAGACCCTTGTGATATGCATTTAATGTTGCAAAATTTAAAAGACCTAAAAGTCGATTTACAACAGAATATTCTAGAAAATTCTAAAGAACTAAAAGACGATCTGCAACAGAAAATGGTAGAAAATTCTAGCGATTTAAAAGTCGATTTGCAACAGAAAATGGTGGAAAATTCCAACAATTTAAAGGATGATTTGCAGCAGAAAATTCTGGAAAATTCTAAAAATTTAAAAGAATATTTGGAACAGAAGATTCTAGATAATGTCCAAGAATTGGAAGAGAAAATGGGGCAGAAATTTGACGACGTAAGGATGGAATTGAATGACGTAAGGATGGAATTGGATGATAAATTGGAAGTCAAAATTAAAGAAATAAATAGTAAACTGACAGCTGTAAATCTACCCATGATGCTGGCGGAACCAGGAACAATGCCGGAGGGGAGCCGAGTTCGAATGAAACCACCTCAGTTCGATGGAAAAACTTCTTGGACCAACTACATCCGTCAGTTTGAGGCAGCAGCAAAAGCAAATGGCTGGCTACCAGAAGAAAAAGCTACAGCATTGACTCTGGCTTTACGCGGAGATGCAACGGACATCTTGCAGACACTTTCTCCAAACGAACAAGAAGATTACGAAGCCTTGGTGAAACACCTGGAACTGCGATATGGTCAGACACATCTGGAACATGTCTACCATTCCCAACTAAAGAACCGCTGCCAGAAATCAAATGAGACTTTGCAAGAATTCGAGGCTGATATTGCACGCTTGGTCCGGCTAGCATATCCAGCTACTCCAACGACCGTTATGGAACGATTAGCGGTTCAAGCCTTTTTGGATGGACTTCGAGACAATGAAACAAGGCAGGCTCTAACACTGGCACGTCCGAGCCAACTGGTTGATGCATTAGCTCGAGCTTTGGAATTCGAGGCGGCAAAGCAGAGCTGTAGGAGCCAGCCTAGAATAAGGAGAGTCGAGGAAGAGAAAGAGGAGGAACCCAGAATAATCGAAGAAATCAGGCGACTTCTTAAAGAGAATCTACCGGAAAAGAAGGAAATCCGGTGTTGGAGATGTGGAAAGCTCGGACATATACGAAGTCGTTGCAGAGAAAGCCAGGAGGCGCCGACTTCATCCAAGTCGGAAAACTAGATAGGGTCGAGGAAAAGGGGCAACCGTCGACCTGTAACCAGCATGCCCCAGAGGATATCGAACGTGTCGCATCTCTTCTACATCAGTCCAGCAGTGTTTTTGTGGATGGCTTTATTAATGGAAAGTTACATGTGCTGCTGCTGGATACAGGTGCGACGAAGACAATTATTCGGCCAGATATTGTCGAAAAGTCGAAGATAAAATCTACCAATCGGCGACTACGTACTGCAACAGGAGATACTGCTACTGTTCATGGAGAAGTGGACATCACGATGGTCATAGGAAACACGAAATTTAAACATCGAGCATTAGTAGCAGATATTGAAGATGAAGTTATTGTAGGCATGGACATTATGAACTCTATAGGATTTCAACTAAACTTTCAACAAGGAATATTGAGAGTAAATGGAGAAGAAGTCGTGTTGCATCGATCAAAAGAAAAGAATATTCGTGTAATGCTAACAGAAGATGCTTTGATACCGGAACACAGCGAGATGATATTGAAGGCTTCCTTGGATTGTAAATCAGAAGATGGAGGTATAATGCTTCTGGAGCCGAGAATTGATGACAAAGAAGTCGGTCGAGGAGTTGTAGTAGGGAAGACTTTAATACGTGTCGGAAAAGAAGAGTATTGAATGTTAATGGTTACTCTGTGAACTTGAAGAAAGGAATCGTTTTGGGAAACTGTTCTTCAGTTTCCTCGATTATTAGAGGCATTCGTGAGTCAGGAGTTCCGGCCAAGAAAGTTAGCAATGAATTGACGAATCTTCTGTCGACTTCTTCAAAGGATTTGAAACCCAATGAAAGGATAAAACTGAAAGAGCTGATTCACAATTATCAGGATGTCTTTGACGACGGACAAGAAAAGAAGGGTAGGACAAGAATTGTCCAGCATAAAATTAACACCGGTGATGCACAGCCTATTCGACAGTCGGCAAGAAGGCTACCCCTTGCTAAGCGAGAGGAAGCTGATAAAATAGTGCAAGAAATGGAGAAGGAAGGGGTGATCGAACCATCTAACAGCCCATGGTCTTCCCCAGTGGTGTTAGTTAAGAAGAAGGATGGATCAACTAGATTTTGCGTCGATTTTTGTCAGCTGAACAACGTGACGAAGAAGGACAGCTACCCTCTGCCTAGGATAGATGACACCCTGGATACATTGGCTGGATCCCAAATATTTTCGACTTTGGATTTGAAAAGCGGTTACTGGCAGGTTGAAATGGCACCAGAAGATAGAGAAAAGACGGCGTTTACCGTGGGTGCTGGACTGTGGCAGTTTACTGTCATGCCGTTTGGACTATGTAATGCCCCTGCAACTTTTGAAAGGCTCATGGAAATGGTTTTAAAGGGACTATCCTGGAAGACATGCTTGGTGTACCTTGACGACATCATTGTGGTTGGGAAATCATTTGAGGACCATATGAAGAACCTGAAGGAAGTCTTTCAGCGCTTAAGAAGTTCCGGCCTGAAGCTAAGCCCGAAGAAATGTCACTTGTTCCAGAGGGAAGTGCAGTATTTGGGCCATGTTGTTTCGAGTCAAGGAGTGGCAGTGGACAAACAGAAGGTGAAGACGGTGCGGGAATGGCCAGTACCGAAAAACAAACATGACTTAAGAAGCTTTCTTGGATTATGCACCTACTACCGGCGGTACGT